CTAATGGTCTCCAAAATAGTACCGCACAGCAAAAAGTTAGGACAGGTCGAACCAACAGCTGATGAGTCAAAGGTGCATCCAAATCACGCACGTTAAGACGCAGCTATTGGCTGCAGATTCGTCTGTCAGAATATATAGCGTGGCGCATAGTAAAATGGAACGACACGGCAATCACTTTGCAGATTGGTGGGCGGCGGACCCCTTGTCTGTACTCCACCTAGTTGCTTCACGTTGCAGAATCTACCGCTTTGCGAACGTCCGCGGCCTTGAGACCAGTCCTTCAAAACAACCGACCTGGCCAAGCAGCTGCGGCTGGGGCCGTAACGCCGCCTACTGTCGGGCCAGGCAGTGCGAACGTGGGGTCACCGACCCCGCTGCGCAGAGCGGCCCGCCCGATTCTGACCGCGCCCGCGGCGGCGACCCCGCCCGCGCACGCGGCCGCCCACGGACCAACCGGGTGACGAGGAAGCCGGGCGGCGGCCGTGCGGCGCGCCGACCTTGAGCGGCGCCCGCCTCAGTCGGAACGTCTCCGTCCGCCCACCGACGACACGGCGCCGTTTTCCCCATGTGACGTCACTAGCCGGGTGGCGTGGCCCAGATGAGCTTTTGAGGGGCCGGGTCGGGTCGGCGGCTGCCGGCCCGGCCGCAGCGTGGCGATGACTGTGTAGACGATGTCGGAAAATGAGTGTTCTGAGGGTCTGGAACAGGGCCGCTGTACAACTTGGCCCGGAGGTGGCAGCTTTTGGATAAGGTGACATTGTGAATCATGACCTGAGAATGCTCGCGTGGCAAATGTTGTATGAGTTTCAAGTCTCATCTATCCGTTCGCTTTGAATACGTGCCGACAGCGCCGTGAACGTGGGACTTACGGCACTTCGTCAAGGGTAATTCGTGCAGGTACCATCATGCATGATGGAACTTGACATGCGTCCTTTTGATAGCTTACTTGACGTCAAAGTAACGACTTTGCCATCACGTGAATGACTTTGAAATGCACCTTACCTGTTACTTAACCTTACCTGTCTTGTCACCTTACCTGTCTTACCTTACCGTACCTTACCTGTCGCCGTGCCACGCCGTTAAATGATATATGAAAAGCTGTCTACTTAAATTCTCCGTCCAAGTCGAATTGCTCGGTATGTGGTTATTGCGTGAGGCTCTTCAGAAAATAATGCTGAGCAAGAATCCTGTGTGGAGGTTGCTTTTGCTCAAATTAAAAATAATAAAAAGCGGTCTTTCCTCTGAAAGGTATAACAATAGGCCTAAGTTAGCTAATTTCATCACATCTGATGCTTGCTTCAATATCCTCAAACGTGGAGCATTCCCTCAGGTACTCCATGTTAGGCGCATGCGCGAGTTACGTACCGAGTACAATGTCTGGTCATGCCGGAGCACGAATTCTCCCGGTGCAAGTTACACAGGTGCAGAACAATCAGGCAGGTGCAAATATGATTCCAAAGCCGATGTTAATCATACACTGCACACTACCACTTGCTTCGACGATCGAGTCCTCACCGAGCAGGCAGCGCAGGACTGTGCTAGCGCGTAGGTAACTGCCAGCGGGTGGTCACAGCAAGGGCACGTTGGCGCGCGACCTCCGGACGTACGAGAGTCACGTGTTTCGTATGAGTGCCCGGTGCGGAGGCGACATGGACTGACTTCTGCTACTCCGGTGAGACGTCGCCCACTCACCAACCCACCTAGTCTTTTACAGCACGGAGTCTGTTTCTCTCGTTACCATGCAGGTCCAAGCCTGATTGACCCCAAGCATCTTGCCAGTTGCCCTTCAAACAGGCTGACAACAGTCGCTTGAAATTCAAGAACGGTGCTCGAGCGAAATGAGATCAAGGGCCGGCCGCTCCCTCGTTGACAGCAGCGTCGGTCCTTTCGTCTCCAGCGGGCCCGACGTGTCCGGGCACCCAGGCAAAAACCACGCCCCTGCTAGCCTGCTCAAGACCCGCCACCCGCTGCAAGATGTGATCCACCAGGGTCTGGTCAGTTCTCAAGTGCAGGATAGCTGAAATACGGATCAATGAGTCCTACAACGTTACAAAATGTCCGCCTTAGTTCCCCCAGTAACGTAAATCAGCGTAGCCGGTAGCGTAAATCAGCGCCTCACTGAACGCGCATAGTTTAGGTGTACAAATCGATCAAAAATAGGACAATGCTAAGTATTTCGCCCAGTTCTCACAAACAACACCACACCCTGTGTGTCTGTCTACTGTTATGCGTATCCATTTTGTTTATCTATCTCATTTTAATTATCATCCATCTAATCAAAGATTAATTTATGGGTACTTACTATGGGGCGATTAACCGTACCAAAATATCAAGGCCACGCAGATTTCCGTGGTGACGGGCGTGGTTGATTTTTGTGGCGGCGTGCTGCTTTGGTGCAGCAGGTGTTACAAACGTTGTTTCCTTATCATTTCTGTGGGGCATCTTCATGAAGCCAGTATCACATGGTGAACAGAACAGGTGGGCGAATCGCACCTGTCGACACTCCTCCACTCGCCTGAGAAAAATTAAACGAAATTTCCACTTTCTGAGCGCTCTTCCAGCGTTCCCTGGACGTAAACTGGGCGTCGTACGAAAGCCTCTTGAAGTAGCATCACGATCAACAAACGTGTTCGCCTTTACCCCTTTACCCAGGTCCCAGCGACGAGTGCCGGACGCCCGGACGCCCAGACACGCACGCAGCTGGACCCAGCGACGAGTGCCGGACGCCCGGACGCCCAGACACGCACGGAGCTGGACCCAGCGACGAGTGTCGGGCGCCCAGACATGCTCTCCGGCGTCCGAGCCCCGAGGGTCCACTTGAACACGCCGCATACCCATCCGACGCACGAGCCGGGAAGCCCGGCGGCCGGACCATGTGTGGTCTGAGCTCTAGTCGTATGATTTGGGTAGCAGCACAGTTGACATGAAAGTAGCCGTAACATTGGTGCATTCACCGCTGGCGTTCGCCTAAAGTGCGCAGCATCAACTGGAGGCTAAAGCGCCGGGAACATGCCGGCAGGGGCGACGATCGCCACCGACCTTTTCCAGGGCGGACGGGGTGGGGGTGGGGAGCAGATCTAGGGCGTCCTTTTCAGATCTGGAGGATTCCCATCCCATGTCCACTCTGAACCTTTTCCCTTAAATTTCGCCCACTTCTTTCAAACGGATCACTTGGCTACGCAACCTGGCTACTTCGCTCTAGGCTTTCTACATTGGCGGAGCTTGATAACTGTGACAGGTTGTACACTGTCATGCGAGCCCAAATGCAACCAAAATGTCGCGTGAGTGTTCCGTGCCTACATTCAGGCTTCTAGCATCGCCCTATTTATACCTGCTGGAAATTCTGAGGAGGCTTCATATAAAAAGTTGCGCGATCCGTGCGTCTGTCTGCAAGGGGGAGGAGGTAGTTGGGTGTGCGCACGTGCGTGTGTGCGTGTGTAGAATCAAACACGGTCTAAAATATTTATGTTTTCATGCTTAGTAATCTATACTGAAAACCTGTGGATCGACGATCTCTTTCATATTTACATTATCACGGGTCTCCACGCCTCCATTAGGTTCCTAGTCTTTCTTAAGGTCTGAACAGTATGTTTCGAGTAAAAGCGTGGTGCAGATAAGAAGCGGGGCCTGGATTGAAACGTGATAGTAGCAACACCATGCTTGCAACCCGAGTTGACCTCGCTGCACCCGAGCTAATCCCACTGCACACGAGCTGACCGAACCGCACCTGAGCTGACCTCATTGTACTTGACGTGATTCCACTGCACCCTAACTGACCTCACCGCACTTGAGCTAACCACTGATACCCTCTGATACCCTCTGATATCCACTGATACCCACTGATGCCCACTGATAGCCACTGACAGCCACTGATACCCACTGATACCCGCTGATACTGATACCCACTGATCCCACTGATGCCCTCTAATACCCACTGATACCCACTGATACCCACTGATACCATCGATACCTACTGATACACACCGATGCCCACCAATGCCCACTGATGCCCACTGATGCCCACTAATACCCACTGACACCCACTGCAACCCGGTGATGCCCGCCGATGGCCACTGGTGCCCACTGACGCCCACCGATACCCACTGATACACATTGATACACACTGATACCCACTCATGCCACCAATACCCACGGATTCCCACTGATGCCCACTGATGCCCACTGATACCTAGTGATGCCCACTGATGACCACTGATGATACCCACTGATACCCACTGATATCCATTGATACCCACTGATACCCACTGATGATACCCACTAATACCCACTGATACCCACTGCTCACGAGCTGAGCAGGCGATAGGATAGCTCCAAACGGCCGCAAGGTGGCCCATCCATTCTCGCTCCAAATGATAAGGCATATGTGTGCCGGAGACGCCGGCCTATGATAACGTTTAAGAATGTCGAGAAAAAGCGGGCAAGCTTGTTGTTTGATCGGCGCGTGTTTGACTCCTCCATGCCTGCCAGTCGAAAGTGCTAATAACAGCTCATGTGATATAGTAATCAAACCGAATAGTTTTCAATGGTAAGCTTCCCTTGGAAGTGTTGAGAAAAAACGATCAGGCTTGCTCTGCCAGCACGTACCTGACAGCGCTCATTCCAGCCAATGGAGAGCACTGATTCAAGCTGATGTTGCAGGCGGTCAGAATGAAGGCATTTAATGGTACTTTGTTAAATGAGCTTAATTTCGATGCAAGTTGATGTGGGCGTCGCTGCAACATGGACCACCGCTCATTCTCCGCCCATGCCCATCCGGAGCGGGCGACGAAGGACTGCATGGCTAGGGTAGGGTGACGACAGGCTGGAGCAGCGGGACCGCCACCACTGCATTGGTCACCCAGCCCCATATATGTGCGCACAAGGTTCCGATGGTGGCTGATCTGGGCGGCCAATGAGGTGGCCGAGCAGCGCCGCCACGCCCCGAGAGCGCACGCCGGCCGGGTCAGCGGCGAGCGGCCGCTCAAACGGCCGTGATCAGGCCCCGCTGACGAGCCGCCCTCCAGCAGCGCACGCCGACGAGGTGTCGCCGGATCACGACAGGTGAGGGGCGCGGATCAGAGCAGAGCGGATCCGGATCACGACAGGTAGGCATTCCGGATCATAGCATAGCGTATCCGGTTCACGACAGGCGGGCATCCCGGATCGCAACAGAGTCTATCCGGATCACGACAGGTGCCATTCCGGATCACAATGGAGCGTATCCGGATCACAATCAAATTATCCGGATCAACACAGAGCATATCCGGATCATAACAGGTCATATCCGGATCATAACAGGGCGTATCCGGATCACGACAAGCGGACATTCCGGATCACAACAGGGTATATTCGGATCACCAGTTCACGACAGGGCGCATCCGGATCACGATAGGTGAGCATCCAAGATCACAACATAGCGTATATGGATCACAGCAGAGCGTATCCAGATCACGGCAAGTGCACATTCCGGATCACAACAGAGCGTATCTGGATTGAGTAGTTCAGATCACAACAGAGCATATCCGGATCACGGCAGATGAGCAGCTCAGATCGCAACAGAGCGTACCTGGATCACGACAGATGGGCAGTCGGATCACAACAGAGCGTATCCGGATCACGATAGGTGGACTGTCCGGATCACGCCACACCAGAATTGCGACAGGTGGGCGGTTAGTATTGCGACAGGTTGGCACCGCCCGCAGCTGCTTAAACGCAGCCGTGCGCTCGCGGCCTCGAGTTGTGTGCTCATGTGACGGTCACTCCACCGGCAGGCTTGCACTCTGAACAGCGCGTGACACACGCTGGAGACCCCCAGCAGCCATTCGTCGCGAGTTGGTGCTTTGCTAACTGGCGGCAGTTTATTTTGAGTGCGGACGTTGCACTTGACACCCGCGGGTACATTTGACGCATTCAGGCGTGTACATGCGTAGGGGAAGCGTATGCGCTCACATCGTGCTCTCACCTAAGCCCGTCACGGCACCCTTCTAGACGTGAAGTTGAAAACAAGCATTCCCAGCGTGATCCTTCGGTGCAAACGTTTTGCGTGCAACTTTGTGTTTGCATACTGGCATCTTTCTATGCATACAACCGGTACATAAAACTTGTGCGAGCATGGTTTCTTAAATCACTATGGCAACATTGCCTGTAACAACCTACATGACGCAGACGCTCCGTCACCAGATAATTTGTTGGTTTTTTTTTACAATAGCTCAAGTACGCACGATCTTGCTCTTCACCTCTCATCGCCGAAAAATGTGATTCAGCGTGTTAACACAACTATTCAACTGTTTCTTTCCATTACCTTAGGATTGGTTCTTTTCAGGGCGAGCACATGTTTCGAATGGCACTGCCGATAGATATTTGAAACCCTGCTTCAATTGGAAACAATATTTTTCAGTTTCTGCTTTGTGTTAGTAAAAGAGCACATGTAAAGTCCATTGCTTAAACATTATACATATTTTCAGGCATCGTAAAGCGGGCTTGAGTGTTTCTTTTATTAATTTATGTAGGTTACTCCCCAAACTTGTCTTCGACCTTCCGTGCATGTAAAGAAAAACACGCTCTGGTATTCGATCTTAGCGTAATTACAAAGGCTACTAGTCTGTCTTCTCGGTTTCGTTCAGACGAAAACTCGGCGGTAATCTGGCTCGGACTCTCTCACAGGTATGCGCTGCATGCGATAACATTACAGCACCCACACGTTTACCCGACATGACAAACGCCTGGCCTGAATACTGATGTGTCCGTGGGCCGCTATGACAGCGAGTATTCGACGGCCGGGATAACGAGGACTTCAGAAGCCCCTGACCTGGCTTCTGGTGTGCCTGGCCACCAACACACAGCGTGCCGGGGTCACCGTGATTCTGAAACATGCACAGTTTTTTCAGAGGGAGGCTAAAACAGCCCGCATAAAATGCAAGGCTTTCTTGTACAGGCTGCTCGACCAAATGTGACTTGTCGCAACATTTAAATTTGGGGGAAATAAAACCCCTATCTTTATCACTATGGACAATGTAAGGCTCCCTAGTTGTCAACAAATTTTACACTACCCTACCCAAATATCGACACAAGCGCCGCAGTGATGTCACACCGCTAACATTTGTTCACGGATGGGAATACAGGCAACCATACTTGCAGGAAGGATACCTATCGCGTGCTCTCGGTCGCGCGCGCCCGAGTGCTAACCATAGCCCGTTTTGTGGCATTGTGAAGGACTGATGCCACGTCCCAGCAACTAGAGCAGATCAAAGCGTGAGCGTGATGACAATGGAGACAGACGCGCGTCCTACGAACCGCTGAGCAACCCGGCCTAGCCTGACTGATGCATGAGTCAAGAGTTGATCGCGAAGCAGCCAGATTCATCCCTTCTCGAAAGCAGTCCCAAATGCGACATGTTATGGTCTAAATTACGAGAAGTTAGGAACACAAGGTATGCTTTGCTATGCTTTAGAGGCAATCGCCGAACCATGCAAAATCGGTCAAAAAATTTGCTCGGAATTACCAGGTCTGACCAGGCTCGCAGTCAGCCAATTATCATGTCATGTCATGCCTGCGCTAGTATGCTAATACTTAATTGGAGAACATCTGTTTGCCAGGTCTCGTGAAAATAGACAGTCACCGTGCGGATCCGACCAAGTTGTACGTTTTTGCTGAAGTGTCTCGCTTCTTTAGCCTAGTTTTTTTTTAGAATCTACATGACGTCAGACGAAAGCTACAAATCTGTCCCAGAATGTAATTTTGCATAGATACTGTCCCAATGAATCATTATCAAATCTAGCCAATTTACGGCATATTTTTCAAACATAAAACCCCTAAATGTCACAATGATGCCATCTGCATGCTGAGACCAGGTGCTTAAAAGGTACCGACCGTGTCAAAATGCAAAGAAAAGGCCAAAACGGTGTTCTTTGCAGTGAACCATCCCAGCATAATGAAGGAACACATGTCCAGAATCTAGATATATTCAGCAACATGTCCCCATCCCAGGCATACACACTACACAGATTGTTGGACAGTCACCTACGCAAAATTGGGTATGCGTTATCAACATGCTTCAACCTAGGTAAGTAGCCAGCTACTACACACGCTTTGACTCAGGAGTGTAGTTTCCTATTCAGCTGGGAGGTTGCAGCCCCCCCTCCCCCCCCCTCCTCCCTCAACTTAGGGTCCAGCCTCCCAACTTTGGGAAGGAAGTGGGCCAAATCTGGAGAGAAACTTGTTTGCTGGCATATTTTAGGGAAAGGATGGGTCGCTTTTTACTGTTCAGCCTCCCCCCCCCGAACTCGTTTTGTGAAGCTACGTGCCTTTGCGCTTTAACTTGCTCACGGCGCCAAAACTTGGATATTTTTAGCCGAGTAGGTAGACCACCACGCTAAGCCTTCGTGAACTTTTTAAGGCTTCGATTCTACGCATTACATTTATGCTACTCTTGTCTGCTGATCAAGTCTAAGCTGGCGCCCAAATTCAACTTAACGATTGTATGATGCTGTGCAGGGTTTATAAGGTGGGGTTGCTTTTTCAGTAAGCGTACAAATTTTTCACGTCGAGAAGTCGATGCAGTGAGGGAGAGGAACATGTTGAAGACAAAATTAAAGCGGCCCTTTAAAGAACTGAGACATTTAAGTGGTCCTACGAAGCGTGTTCAAAATGTGTTTATGAGAACAGATTTTGAGCGCCGAAAAGGGTCCAAGCCGCTATGACATTTTTCTACCTCTAGTGCTCTAATGCACGTGAGCTTTGTCGCAATCGTTGTTTCGTGGAAGAAGATGCTAAATATAATGGTATGGCATGAGAGCTTTCCAGACTCTTTAACCAAGGGCAAATGTTGATATGAGTCTCATATGCCCGTGGCGAGTGAGCTCTCTTTTGACCTCTGAATGCAGTCACTTTTCAGGTGTACAACTCAGGGTCGCTGAACGCTTCGTGCGCATATGAGCAATCAATCTTATAGCATGCAGTACCATCCCAAAAAGGAACGGCAATTTTTACTCATAATTCGTTTCGTGTTGCCGTATCCGTTAGCGTACTCTTTAAATTTCCGGGCGGAAAATCCTTACTCCGCACAGGATTTTCTGACGTGTGCATCGCTCGTCACGCACGCACGCACGGGTTCTAGCGGGGTGCGCATGGGAAGCCTAACTGGTCTGCTGTGATTGAGCGCGTAACATTAGCTGGACTTGCAATTCCAAGTCACGCGTGACAATGCTGGCAGGTGGAGCTTAAGCTGCATGGCGAAGCCAAACGTTTCACCGCCTACCAAATCGCCAAACCCCTGATCTACCAACTACCAAACCACCAAATTACGAAACACATGGCTGTGTTTAGTTCTTCACATTCGAGGCAACCAAAAGAGCCAAAAACGTGTGTACATGAAAACATCATATTCAATGAAGAAATCTTCGCTGGTATCACCGTTTTCAGTAGTCTTCCCAATATGCCGGTGGTCACCAGACCCACTCTGACCCGTTCGTGACATAACAACAAGCGGCCGGTGTTTGCCTGACCCCTGACTGCCAACAGTTGGCCGGCCTGTGTCTGACCCCGGCGCCCGCTGGCAGGATGCGGTCGCAGCTGGCCGGTCTCCTGATGCTGGTGGCCGCCTGCGGTGCGGCCAAGCTGCCGGACGCGGCGGCGACCACGCCCGTGCGCTTACCGCGCCGCCTGCCCGCCTTCGGCGACCGCCTGAGCGCCTTCAGGGGCTTGCTGGGCCCCTTCAGAGGCGCGGTGCCCCGCCTGGCGGGCCCCGTGGCCCTGCCGGCGGTCCGCGCGCACGCCGGCCGGGCGGGCGCTACGGCCAAGGTGCCAGCGGCCAGGGGCCCCGTGCCCGTGTTCGGCCTGCGACTGCCGCCAGCTGACAGCCGACTGCTGACCAACTTCAGCTCGCATTGGCTCCGAACGCCATTCTCCTACCAGTATGTGATCAGGTGAGCGGCGCCGCGCACCGCCGGCGAGCACGCAGTTGTGTTTTCGTGCGTCCGTTCTCTGCGCACACCGATGCTTTGTGATGATCGAGAATCGATTCGGCCACTCTGCGTGATCGAGTACGCCTGAAATGTTAGCCCTTAAAAATTGTGTGCATGACGTGGATGTTACAAAACGCCCTCGTCGGACATGCGAAGGCTTGAGGCACTCATTCTAAAACTTCATTCTTCATGAACCGTGCGGCTTTCAACACCGCGGAAGCGTCGGGGACAACTATAAACGCTGTCTGTCCACGTCGTTCATGTGTTGCAAAGGAAAATAGATGCAGCATAAACCTCAGGCATAGAGATGGATAGTGTTTGTCCCCGTGACCAGACTGTAGACTAAGTACCTGACCTGAATATGGGGTGATTCTTAGCCTTTTTAGTCAGCCAAGTCATACAGAATATTTTGTTTGCAATGCTCTCCGTGCCATCATACTGAAATATTCCCCCGGACTGTTTCCCTGCAGCTCATCCCGCTCAGTCTGGGATGACCTGGGCAGCAGTTCACCCCGGAGGATGCTGACGATCATGGAACTGTACACAAAAAGTAGTCTAGAAGCTGGGTCATTCCCTGGATAAGAAGCCGACCACGGATAGGAGCATTTCAACACGGCATCCCTTTATTTGACGAGGGCAGGTTTTTAGGGTAATTATGTGGCCATGCGACAAGCCTGCAAGTGCTAAAGTCATACAGTGTGCCGATAAGGAACTAGGAGTAGATGAAAATACGCGATGACGTCACGAAACCTATTTTTCAACTTGCTCTAGCCGACATAGCTTAGCGTGTGCTGGTGTATAATGTTGAGGAAGAGTATATCGGTAAGCTAAATGCATATATCTTATTAAAAAAACATGGGTGAATATAGCATTCAAGGTTACTAGATACTTACAGCGACTTGTATTAAACTTTGATCTCATTGTCTGGAAAACGTGATGTCCATGATTTTACTTCAACCGCTATGCAACTAGCACCTTCTACTGCAGCTCAGCCTGCTAAATAAATCACTAGGACCTTTTCTAGATCGGTCGCAAATCGAATTTGAGCATTGGCGGATTACGTACGGCGGCACACCATGAGCCGGTGTCGGGTGACCGAGCGCGATCGGACGGCCCACTGTGTCGGGTACTGTCACAGCGACCTGGAAACTAACCGGACCCTGGAACAATGCATGCATAAAGGATTTGATCAACCCTACTTGTCTGTCATCCATTCCGAAGAAAGAGAGAGAGAGAGAGAGAGAGAGAGAGAGAGAGAGAGAGAGAGAGAGAGAGAGAGAGAGAGAGGAGGAGAGAGAGAGCTAGAGAGAGAGAGAGAGAGAGATAGAGAGAGAGAGAGAGAGAGAGAGAGAAGGAGGCCGAGATTATGTTTCGACGAACATGGTGTGCATCTATTAATGCCAACAGCACAAAGAAATCCTTTCCAAAAGTTAAATCACTGAATCATTAGTTCCTGTTAGTGGAGTGAACGCAAAAAGCGTATTTGCACCGTAAGTTTTTTCATCTAACTCGTCACTATAAATGTTTCGCGAGGCATTCATCCCTCACGGGACTTCTTCGGTTATTCGAGCAGCTACACTTCGGTTGTTCGAGCAGTTATTACGAGACGTGTTTCCCTAAGGCTGATAACGACTGTGGCTGCGCGTTCCCCTCAGCGCTCGTGCGTATATTAAGCAGTGTTCTGAGCATTCTAGCTGACGCAAAGATGAGAAGTGTGTCTACAAATGAAAAAGAAACGGTAAGGTTATGCTGCATGGACTACAACACAGCTTGTAGACTTATTCGTAAGATAGTGTTTGCACATATCCGTAACAGATAACCCATGATTGAAAAACGTAAATTTGTACCTCTTCGTTTTGTGCTCCGTAGAGCATTTCATAAACCGCGTCCAAGATTTATCTGTTCACTAACCAGCGATGTGGTTGGTGCAGCTGCGAGACATATCCTGCGGCACCAGGATTTCATTCTGTTCTGCGTATTATATGTTTCATATTTCATATTTCATATTATATGTTTTCAGGCGTTTAACGGTGCCTCCACTTTGATGCATGGACCTTCCCCATGAAACGAGGAAGTGCAATACACCTTTAAGGCCAAAATCCTCCATGAGGCGACACATGCTCAAGAAGTTTTATTTCTTTTACAGTATGTCAGACGGTAAAAGGTTAAGCAATGAACTTGTTCTGTATTTGGCGGAAACTTTCGGCATCGGTGGCGCCTCTACCCGGCGAGTGTGTACTGCGGCTGCTGAATGGGGTTATCTATCACGGATGATATAGATAATTTTGTTGGCGAAGTCATTAGCCGTTTTGGAGCATACCACAAATAGATGTGTATTGTTAAGTTGCTACTAGCTGAAAAGGGTTTTCCCAATGGAAGGTTCAAAGAGGTATGCCATATTTTTTGGTACTTTAACTTGTTGTTAGATCAGATGCTAGATGCAGAGGCTCACAGACGCTTCTTATATTTGGTGAACAATACCAGTTGTCTCGAAATCCTGAAAAGGTCAAAAATTGTATTTGAAGCACCAGCTTCTGCGAGAAAAGGTTCATTGGACCACCTGCTCACTTCTATGAAAGTAATACAGGTAATTTGTTTTGCATTTTCCAACACGTGTGTACTGTTATGTGTATAGCACACTTATTTTTCGAAAGGTTTGTGTAATAGATCCTACGAAAGCTTGAAGCACTGTTTACAAAAAGAACTTATGCGAGCGTGAAGGCATTGTGCCGCGGACGCAGCGAAGCGTTATACTATAACTTTCATTTCTCTCTTATGACGTTTACTGCGGTGTCTGTTTTCACTTTGGCTTTGGGAAACGGGGTATCGCTTGGTAGAAAATGGTGCATCGGCTCGAACTTCAGCCGACGCGTTTGCCAATAACTGGCGCTTGCCGCCCGCTCTGCCAATTACAAACGCTCGTTTAGGCAGAGCAAAATTTGCAGTCGTGGTGGCGACGACGGTCGCGACAACTGCGGAGAAGAAGCATAATGCTGTTACAAAGCGTTCACACCGCAATTTTTACTAAAACATGATTGCATTTTTTCGTATTTGGTCTTGACGACGCTGTAGTGGCCCCACCCAGGGCTCTTATTACACTAAATGGTGCTGAGGTTTCTTTAGAGTGTGGTTTTGAAATATGCCCCATAGTTGGAAAATTCCCTTAAGACTGCGTCCTGTGCGATCAAATTATAAGTTTCTGGAGAAAAAAGCAGTAGCCAGTGGACAACCGTTTCGTCACACCTTTCTCGACAGCACCGAAATTCTGTCGTCCCTTCTTGAGCCGCTGCGTTTTCATCAGTTCCCCTGCTACGGCGTACAATTAATTCACATGCGCGGTGCCGTAGACAAACTGAGGAATGATCTGAGCATATGTTTAGGAGTTGTGCCGATTTTTGGGGCAGTACTGCATACAAATGTTATCACGATCATTACTGTATCCCATTAACACAGACATGTGGCGCGGCGCAGGGAACACGCCCATCCCGCCTGGGAAGCATTTGTTGGGACAAAAAAAGCAACAAACTGTTCTCTTATGAACGGCCATGAATTTATTCAGCCGTAGACATCATTATGTGCAATTGTTCCAAAACGCACCCTGGAATCATGATCACGAGAATAATAAACCATGACTTAAATATGATAAGCGAGATCATGATATCGCGATCCGGGATCACACTTTCGTGGCTGAGCTCGATCCTGCCAGCAATCCTGAGCTTGTGGCCACGAATTCTGTTGCTGTGACAAACCCATTCATTGATGACATTGGACAATTATTTGAAATGGCAGGTGGGTTTGTTTTTTCATTAAGCCGTTTGCGATTATCACAAATTTCTGTAATACGTTTTAGAAAGGAGCTCCTCTGTTGTAAACTGTCGGTGATTTAGCGCAAACACCTGCTTGTTGCTTCGTGCTTCAGGTCAAACAACTCAACAAATGCGAGTTGTTCAATGCATTTGCGGGCAACATTATTGCCATAGATAAGATGGTAGTGATAGCCTTACTCCTCGGAGAAAAACCAGGAGAATGGAGATATAGATGGGCTGATATTTCGGCAACGCGCCTTTATCGAAACAATAGCAGAAGTGAATTAAAAATTGCCTGCCGATGATCTTACTCGATTTTTCAGTTTTTTAAAAATAGCAAGCCGCAGCTTTTGCAGGACACCAACATTCAGCGGATTAAACAAAGAGCGATCGCCAGCCATTACCACGATACAGTGCATATCTAAGAATAAGAATACGTGAAAATACGTGTGCATGCAAACGAATACAAGTAAACGGGCATCATGCATCACGATTCATTCAAACATGCAATCCTGCATGTTTCTTAAGGACTACACATGTTAACAAATGATGTTTTTAATGGTGACAAATGGTTTGCACTACACTCGCCCTAACAATGCTACAGCGAGTGCGGTTGGGTGTTTTTCCTCAACCCCTGGCAATAAAGCTCTTCACTCTCTGACCCTCCCGGAGGCCGCGGCTGATTTGCCCGGAGTCGGTGTCGAATAACAGGCATGCTGCATCGTATTCCATGTGTGCAGTTTTAGACGTGATGGCCAGCGCGCAAGGCGATTTTGCTCCTGGTATAGGCCTGATAAGAGAACAAATAATGCAGGTTTAGACCAGTTGTTTGTTTCTTCCATGTTGAACTGCAGCTCAACTCTGTCCGATGCTTAATACGCGATCGTGTGGGGGGGGGGGGGGCAAATTGACCCCCCTCCCAAAGGTTTTTCCAGAACGGTTTGGCATGACATGACATGATATGACATGAAGGTCATGATCTAGGAAGATCAAACTTTGACTCAAGTGAGCTCACGCGCAGGTCAAGACACCCTGTAAATTTGGTGTCTCTAGCTTTCTTAGTTCCCGAGATCTCAAGGGGTAAAACTGACCCCCCCATCCGAGCGAAGGGTATCTAGCCGGCCACCCGGGCGCGTGTTAACGATGTGCTGCGAGGACTCGGAGCGCACGACTTTATACGTAAGGTCGATTAACACGCACGTGTCATTCAGACATGTTCCTAAGTTCCCGCATGCTGTCAGAAAGACTGGTCTAAAGATTGAAATGAATGATCGCAAGGCCACCGTCAGAGTTCCCGGTGGAGTGAGCCGATCGCGCCCGGTCCCACGACACCGGCCAGTCGGCTGCCACCGTCAGAGTTCCCGGCGGAATGAGCCGATCGCGCCCGATCCCACGACACCGGCCAGTCGGCTGCCACCGTCAGAGTTCCCGGCGGAGTGAGCCGATCGCGCCCGGTCCCACGACCCCGGCCAGTCGGCTGCCACCGTCAGAGTTCCCGGCGGAGTTAGCCGATCGCGCCCGGTCCCACGACCCCGGCCAGTCGGCTGCCACCGTCAGAGTTCCCGGCGGAATGAGCCACTCGCACCCGATCCCACGACACCGGCCAGTTGGCTCATGGCGTGCCTTTGGTCCTCCATTGCATGTCGATTAAAACAAACGTAGAAGGTACCGTGTTTACAGATAATGGGGTCAAAGGTCAAACTGGGTCGCTATATGCATTTAGCTCAGCTTAAATTTGATATTGACGTTTGTTTCACAAAAAGACATACATACTTTGCCTTATAATGCACCTTTCCCAAACCCTTGACTTCGCAAACTGTTTTCGCCAGAGCAAGTTGAAAAAGGGCTTGTGATAGAGCACTCCCCGGATTGAGTTTTCAGCATGCGGTCCTGTCCAGTCCGGCAAGTGGCCAGTGATAGGGCACTCCCCGGATCGAGTTTTCAGCACGCAGTTCGGTCCAGTGCGGCAAGTGGCCAGGTTCGTGCTCCACATGCTCAGCCTTTGAGATGCATTTATTAGGTGGGAGAGTGGGTAGAACGTAATCTGTGAGGATATAACTTTTTCGGGCAGACATCTGGACGTGGATGAGATGAAGCAATACACGTAATCTGAAGCTGGTGTTTAACTCATAAACTTGACTGAATGACAGGTGGCTGATTTGCTAGGCAAACAGAAGCTGTAGTGTTGCTATGGGAGTTAATTTTTCCCCCAGACGGGACCTTGATTTCAAAACTCTGCGGTGTGCTTTCTAGCATTAAAACGTGTTTCTGCCCCCCCCCCCAAAAAAAAAACATGCAATTTAATATCACCTACTGGGTTAGAGGGATTGCTGGCAGCATAAGAAGAAATAGTAGTTGCATTATGTTCATGACCATTGAGTGATAATGTGCATTTGAGTGATTTTCAGTCCGTTCGATCCCTGTAAGCTGGCAAATTTAAGAATCTCGTCCGGCCCTTGTCCATGCTTTGGTGGAAATTTCTGATCCGGTCCAGTTCGGCCCGTAGATGAATCTACAATCCGTCGACTGGTCCAATCCGCGAAGTGCTCTAATTCGTAACGTCATCGCGTTTTTTTCATCTGCTCATATTATTTTATCGGTTCGCCGTACGGCTCGAAAACTTGCAGACCCGTCTTTTGCACGCATACTCACCCTATGAACGAGTTTTGTCAAATAAGAATGGCCGTCGTCTTACCCTCCGGTCGATTTTTTGTGAAATGGCCCGACTCCAACATGGTCAATTCTTCCACTCCCGCTGTAAAACAATACTTTCGTACGTGCGACGCAGTCACGAAGATCTACTCCAACATGTGCGCATCCCGTATATTGGAACCCTGATGCATTCAGAGCTAAATTGCCCTGACGTCATTCGCATTTCTAGACCATGCCATACCTAGGCGCCTCACCATCTGGCCTACGAATCCATTGTTGACATGCAAGGAAGCAAAACGGTTCGCTCATCAGTGACGATCATGCGGACAGCGCTCTGCGCACTGGTTGCATATCGTTTACAACTTGGCCCGCTATTGGCTACACTATGACTGCGGGCAGTGGCAGACGCGGCGAGCGGGCATTGCTCCCCGGCGGGTGTCCCATTACTGGGCCTTGGCGCCTCGGCCGACCGTGTGACCATGGCCTGACCTGACCCGCCGCGGCCCAATCTGGAGCTCACTCGTTGGGACCACTGATTGGTGTAGTCAGTTGGCACTGCATGGAATCGGGCAATGCTGTTGTGCAATGACAATGATACAGCTGCGCACGACCTTAGCCGAACGCCACCGCCGTCCACTTGCTCTCCACAGCGCTGGATGATGGCCAGTCAACGGGCCACGTGGCACTCATTTTGTCACCGGCTTTTCGTCGATGTGCGCCGTGCTCGCGTGATGTGAGCGTTGCTGTGCTGCGGCCGAGGCTTTAGCCGAAATTATTATTAGACACTAAACTGAAAATCCTGCGTGAAACTTAAACCAACTGTAGCTTTGAATGCACTCGGGGTTTTCTTGGTCGCATTTTTCCTCGAATTACTGTATTACTTGTTCACAACGGCTGCCTGTGAAATCTGAACACCTGGAAGCGGACGAGACCATGCAATTCGTCTGTTTCTCCCACCGCCTTTCCTCAGATAAAAAGTATTGCGTGCTTCGAAAAGGACTACCCATGCGTACTTCGAAAGGGGTTTCCGCTTTGTATTATCCCAGTTTCTTCACACCATCGAAACGAGGCGCAACAATGAGTTATTCTCCTCATTACACACGATGATAAATCGAGAATAACGGACATAAAGCAGCGAGTCATCCTTATTTTTCGCTACCTAAGCTAGCGGAAATATAAAATATTGGGTACTTGCTCGCTGAACTACGACGATGGACGACAAAACCTCATCATCGTAAAGGGAATGCTCAACAGTCATATAGGGTTTTGAACTGAAATAGCAATTTTGAAGACCTTTCAGTGCTGTTCACTATTCTGCCCTTCTTCAGACCTAAGCCCCTCTAATTTCTGAGCTACACGCCCGCGAAAATGGGAAAGGTATTTCAAAGTCACCTTGGCATACATGATGTAATAATAACGTCATTTAAATCCTACCATTTCATAGGCCATGCGCGATCAAGGCAAAAAAAGAACTATCATTGTCGAAGCGTTCAAAGCCGGCCTTCGTGAGCGCAATTTCCAGACATAAAGACCGTCATTTGGCTCTCAATCAATGTTATGCAAGGCAGGATGACGTGATCAGACCATGACGCGTTGAGGAGCGTATTTACAAAACAGAGCATTGTGCTCTCTAGAGTAATCTTTTCCTCTTTAAAGGTATGCAAGTTGGTATAAGCAAGCTTGTTTTGTCATTCACGATGCTTACTTCAATATCTTCAAGTGTGAAACATTCCCTTTAAGCTCTTTTACTTTTTGCAGCTTATCGAAGCTTTGTGCAACTCTTTTTGTACATAAAATAAAGCACATTGCACATTCCAAATTCTTACGAAAAACTTGTTTGTACGTTAAGTATGCTGCAAAGAGCGAACGGCGCAGCTTTTTACTACAGGAAATGGTGTGGTGCGCTGCATGTGGGCCCAACATCCAAACTGAGTCTGTAATAATCTTTTCAAGTCCGCCTCACTTAATGTTCGTGGAGGTCTGAAAAGTGTCCAAATTTCATTACTCATTACCAGCGCCATGTCATTTCAAAGGATATTTAGTATCAGTGCTGTAGATATCAGGGACATTCGGACTCCCGGGATGTTAAAATGTTTTATTACGCCAGTGACTCTCACGGCTTGTACAATCAAAAGGGTATTGAGTGCGGCTGTTCCAAAATGCCTGGCGTTCCAGTCCATGACCATGGCCATGGTGGTGACAGGAGTTGATGCACTATATACGACCACCCCTGCCAACACCAACCGTCTGCCCAGGCTTCCTGCCGGGGTCACCATCTGCTGACCACCACCAGCCCAGTCCCTACCGAGACCACGACCACCATCAGCCCAGCCGTGCCGAGACCACCATCTGCCGACCACCACCAGCCCAGTCCTTGCAGAGGCCATCTCCCAAGCCAACCACGAGGCTCCGGCCGTTCAGCAGCGGGACGTGACGCAACCGCCGGTGCGCGCTGACTGGGGATCTTGTGTTTCAGGCACCCTGGCGTGGTGTACGGCAGCCCTCCGCCGCTGCACCCGGCGCTGAAGCTGTGGAAGCCAAACGGTGGGCGGGCGCTGCTCCAGCCGCACAGGCATGCTCCGACCGTGCCGGCAAAGGCCGACCCCCAGCCGCTGGCGACGCCAGAGCTGTCCCCGGCCACATCCGGGCAGCAGACGCTGACGCCCAAGCAGGCGGCGCGAGCGCCCTCGTACATCGACTACTACATTCCCCCCAGTGGCGCTCAGGGCCGTCATGTTCAGAGCATCGGAAACGGCGTTAGGAACCCACTCGCGCTGTTCCCCAAGATCAACGAGCTCACTCCGCCGGACAAGGAGTACTTGCCGCCTCCCGAGGCGTCCACTCACGTTCACCCAACGCAACAGCACAGTACTTTTGTACAAGAACAGTACCTCCCGCCGAAAGAGGGGCACTTACCACCTCCAACAGAAGCGCATGTGCCACCGCCGACGGGGGAGTACTTGCCGCCGCCATCGGTGGCGCAAGTGTCTGAACCATCAGGGGAGTACTTGCCTCCGCCATCGGTGGCGCAAGTGTCTGAACCAACAGGGGAGTACTTGCCGCCGCCATCGGTGGCGCAAGTGTCTGAACCAACAGGGGAGTACTTGCCGCCACCATCGGTAGCGCAAGTGTCTGAACCTACAGGGGAGTACTTGCCGCCGCCATCGGTAGCGCAAGTGTCTGAACCGACAGGGGAGTACTTGCCACCGCCAACGGTGGCGCAAGTGTCTGAACCAACGGAGGAGTACTTGCCGCCGCCACCGGAGGTGCAAGTGTTGGAACCAACAGAGGAGTACTTACCGCCGCCACCCGCGGAGCATGTCTCACCACCGGCGGAACAGTACCTGCCTCCTCCACCAGACAAGTCACCACCAGAGGATCCGCATATACCGCCATCAGCGGCGCATTCCCTGCCGCCATCAAATCCGGAACACTTGGAGCTTCCCAAAGATGAATATCTGCCTCCACCCAAAGAGCAGGCCGTCGCACCGCCAGCCGGCGAGTATCTGCCTCCAGAAAAGGAAACCACGGCGCCAGAGCAGGAGTATCTGCCGCCGCCCGCAGAGGAGCACGTGCAGCCGCCCAAGAAGGGTCATGTACCTACAATTGAAAAGGAGTACCTGCCTCCACCGGGTGGGCGGTTTCCGTCGCGGTCATCGGGTCACCAACGCAAAGTGGCTTCCACTACCAAATATCGCAAGCTAAAAGGTAAGCCACCAATGAGACAAAATTAGCCCGAATGGTTCTTTCCACCGTAGGAAGCTAGAGCAAAGTATTTAAGTCTGCTGCACAATGTGCGTAGCTTTGTTTCCGGAAATAATATGCTATAACAATTCTCCGTTTTTAAGAAGAGCACGCTCTGAGTCTGTCATTCTTTCAGTCCTTCACCCGGTGACGTTAGGATCAGGTAGGCTGATTTCTTTACGCCACTCTTCACTTGCGTATACCCAAGACCACGCTTTACTGCATTCTGGGTAGCGATGCTGTGACGTCATCATGGGACTAAGTCGTATGGCACCAGCGCTATGGCGGCTTGAAAATACTTTTGTTTCCGGCTGATTTTTACTAAATATCTCCGAAAGCCGAATTTTTTGACCTAGCACTATCAATGTAACATTTGCAGCTGGGAAATGGTGTTGGTTTGCAACAGGGCCACACAATTATTGCTGAAATGCGCTTCCAGCCTGCCCTCTGCAGACAGATGGCGTTACCCATTCACCAGTGATTTAGCCCAGCTCTAGCCGGATATGCTTAGAAACAGTCTGTGTAAAAGAGTACGGCGTGAAACAACAACAGCATATGTTGGAAATGAGATACGGCGGGCCAGGCGGGCTCTCAGCACTCTGGGAAGCGCATTGAGAAGTTGGAATGCATATCATGTAGCCTTAGTAAGATCGTTGTCAGGGTGGATGCAGGGTTGGCCTGCTCTTATGGGGTTAATGAGTGGTGAGCCGCGGTGGCTTGAATACAGCAAGTGCCATTCAGTTCAAGATAACACAATTTTTCTGCAAAATGGGCCGATTTCTGGCAAGTTTGGCGATGTCTACCTCTCAAACAGTCGAGGCCCATATCTCAGCTCCGAAATAGTCTAATAAAAATATTTTAGGGTGGTGGAGGCATTGCTCTCTGCGCACCATTTTTATCTAACTCATCCAACATTTAGATCTGCAAATTCGCCAACACCTAGGAAGATCACAGCACAGCAACAGCGAAATTCTTGGCACCTGCCTTCCTCGCGTTACTTTATGTTCACATTTCACTCCATGTAGGTACTGCAGTGCAAAAATAGACGCGTAATCATTGCCGATTAACTAATTTAATGTAAATATTACGTACGATATTGATTCATTTACCTTCGAATTTTCATTTTTTTAAAGCGCTTCACATACAGATATTTGCGCGTTGGTCTCGACGAATATGGCGCGGGTGCTGCAACTAGAAAATGTGATTTAGTAGGATTTATTCTTGCAGTTAGATTCTGCCGTTGAGTTGTATTGAGAAGAGTTGAAATGCAAACTTATTATATTTATACATATAACATAAAAATAAGTGTAGAACAGGGTTGCCATCCAGTTCAATGGCGAAATCACCGTTTTAAATCATGTGACTAGTATCTACCAAGCTTTTCGTAGTATCAACCAAAAACCACACTGCGGGCTACCAAACTGTAGTCTCATGGTGACATCACGTCTGTGTAGCCTTCTCTAGTAGCCTGGCGTGTACCTGAATCCGATGCTAGTACTGAGCGACTACGCTAGCACGTGCCATGCTCCGGGTGCAGTCCTCTCACTAGGAGGCCGCGGCCGGTCGGCAGGCAAGAGCTGGGGCACGGCTGCTGGCGGGACGTGGCGCTCCTTCTCACGTGCACGCGTGCTGCAAAATTGATGTCGTGTGGTTGCTTGGAATGGTGAAATGAGCAACATTCATTTGGAGAACAGGCCAATGAGACATGCGCACTGACTTGACTGTCATGGCTGGAATGTCGGTGTCAGCACCTGCATAACCGTTGCGTGTGCTCTAAGCATCATCGTTTGATGACCCGCCAGAGAAGCGGCTGCCGGGCCGGATTTCACCCTGAGCACGCGCTAAGAAAAATTTCCTACTAGCTTTTTTGTATATTGAACTGTTCACCGGACGTAGTTCCACCCTGTGTACCAATTATAAGATATGGAGAGTTGCCCTCATATCCACTTGACTTTTATCGTAAATTTAGAACTGCCCTGAGCAAAACTTACTCATAATTGCGTGACCTATCCAGTCATCCAATGGCGTTTCATGTGCCTCTTTGTGTCCCTTATTTACAGAAAGAGCAAGGGCGAGTGCCCCCCCCCCCCCCACGTCAGTTCTAAGCTGGCGCGGAACCATGTTAGTGGAAGGTTTAAGTTGTACCATGAACTCTTTAACGAGCCGCAAATATTAGGTGACTGCGCACCGCGCAAATAGACAGCTTAGCTCGTTGTGAAAAATAAACACGTCGTGAGGCGGTGACCGCGGAGCCAATGGGACTCAAAACCATGCCGCCGGCTCGCTGATAGCTTTGAGCCATCCACCTGGTGTCATTCTCGACAGCCGGCGTGCTCACTCCAGTCGGCTGGAGCTCTGCGGACCCCGTCCTGGTGTTCCGCTGCCATTGTTTACTCACCCGGTATATCACACTGCAATGCGGGACGTCAATTGGGTGATATCAGTGATCCCCAGAGCAGAGGAGTGAAACGCCATGTGACTGGGCTCCACTGATGACTGGTGTGTTTCTACTCTCGCAGGCTGCATTTCCTTGTCCAGCTCCAAAACACACAGGCCTGTTCACGTGACAGCGCCCGTTCTGAGCGCCATCTGTCGGTTTTTTCAGTGGTGGACGGCGTACTGCACCGGGTCAATAACCCTGGTGACCCGTGCGAGGGGATGGTCTGCGGCGCCCGCCAACGCTGCCAGGTGGTGATGGCTTGCGGCAAGAGAGGCTGCCAGGGCCGCCAGCGTCTGGCAGAGTGTGTTTCCCGTGAGTACCAACCGCGTCTCTCAACTCGGCGTGACTTCCATGACCACTCACTCACGCCTTCAAGGGAGTGCTCCACATCTGAGGATATTGAAACAAGCGACAGATGTGATGAGGTAAGCTCACTTTTAACAATTGGTAGAATTTTAAGTGGAAAACTTCTCCCGACAACACAATTTTCACTCATAAGAAGATACGATTCTCAATGCGTTATTGTTTGATTGCGTCATCGTACCTTGTGTGACGTTGAAGAGCCAACAGACGACGCTTACGTATGAAAATCATGCCCACGAAAGCCAGACGTGAATGATTCGACAATCATATTTCTCTTGGTCTTGATCGCTGCATGGCCAATAAATTGACAGGACTTACATGAGGTTATTACGGCGTTATGGATCTCTGGGTGACCTTGAAATGGTCACCACGAAATAACTACACATCTTTCAGGGTGTGTTGCTCAGAAACTAGAGGGGCTTACGTGTCAAGAAGGGCAGGGCTGTGAGCTGCATCGAATTATCTTCAAGATCTCTGTTTTAGACGAAACCCTCATGCCAATGTTAAGCACTCCCTTTAAAGGGAGCGTTTCACATTTTTATTGGGTTTGAGCTGAAAAAGACATATTGATTGACCCTCCCTGGCCATTCCCTGAAAGGGAGCGTTCGGCATTTGTATGGGGTTTTGAATCGAAATAGTCGTCTTGAACACCATTCGGTGCAGTTAACAGCGCTAAACATGTCACCTGAACCCCTCTAGTTTCGGAAATACACGCCCACGAAGATGTGCAGACTATTTCAAGGTCACCGGGGTATCCATGACGCCATAATAACGTCATTTTAATGCTGCCATTCCACTGGCCACGCGACGATGAAGACAAAGAACAAGATCATTGTGCAGTCGTTAATGTCTGGCGTTCGTGAGCATGATTTACAGATTTAACGACCCTCAATCGGCTCTTGATCAATGTTGTGCAAGTTGCGATGACGCAATCAAACAACGTCACATTGCGGAGCATATTGACTAAATATAGAGGCTGTGTTGTCTCGAGCAGTGTTTTACACTTAAAAATATAGTAATAGCTATAAGTGGCCTTATTTCATCGTATCTCATGCTTGCTACGATATCTTCAAAGGAGGAGCATTCTGTTTTATGGTGAGCCTGCCTTGTGTGAATACCTGCTGCGTCTTCTGAGGTCCTGGTGTCTCCGAGAAGCGGCAGGCCTTCTGGTAAGTCCCACGTCGTAATGTTAAGGTTGCCTTTCTCGGGGACCAGTCGTGTCAATTTTGACATCGAGGTCAACGCGAGGATCACCATCAGCATTATCTCACGCCGTGATGGTATGCCCACTCTCGTAAACATCAACTGCGTCTCGTGAGGTCAGCGAGTCTCCCAGGGCGCTATCTCACGCGGTAATGGGCGGGGGCAGGTAATCGGCCATTTAGCTGAGTGGCGGTGGCGTTGCCGGCGGGCCGGTAGGTGCGGCTCCGCTATTTATGCGAGCGGCGGCGCCGGCCGTCCGACGGTCAGTCCCAGAGATGATCCATAACTGGCTGCACGGTGGCCTTGCGCCAGTTGCCCATGGACAAACGGCGGCTGGAGCGGCTCCGGCCCGGGGGCTCCGGAGGCTCACCGAGCAGGACCGGCCGAGGAAGGTAACGTCGTCCATCGGCGGCGGAGGCGCGCAGGATGGCGTGACTGGTGGCCAATTTTCCTGCTTGGGCGGACGTCGCGGTCCGCTCTTTTCTGTTCTGTACATGGGGCTGCTGCCGACGACAGCGGGGCCGACAGGGCGCAGGGGACGCGGTGTGCCGGTCACCGACGTGGTCCCGCCGGCCTGCCGTAGCCGAGCACGCCTGTATTAGACTTTCTTGCGTGCTGTGATGGCCTGCGAAGAAGCATATCAACTCCGTTTGTCTTTTTCCTGACCGTTCGTTTGGTTGTGGAGCGCCCCCTCAACTTAAAGTATTTCAGTGTCACTGCCGTGATGACAAGACATGCATTAGTGATCATCTTGAAGCTCCTGTTTCGCAATCAGAAAACTAGCTTCTAATCGACGGCAATTTTGATTTGTGTTGAATTGTCAACGTTATTGGCCACAAGGCCAAGTGCCGACACAGCTTTTCACGATAAGCCGTGTCTATAGCATCAAAGCGTGACCGATTTCCCGTGAGCATTTAGCGAATTGAATCAATCCACAGATTGCGATGTAATCCGCGGGTCGGTTGGACAAGATCAGAAATTTCCTCTTAAACATGGATTAAGACCGGACCAAATTGTCACATTTGCCAGCTCACAGAGATCAGACGGATTGAAAACCGATCGTATGAAAATTTTCACTAAATGGTCGCTGAAATGCTCAATAGAGACGTAAACTCAGAAAAGTACATTTACTCTAATAACATACAGTAAATCAAATTACAACCAATGTACAAACAGGTTGCGTAGTCCATCACTCAGCCTCATATTCCTCAAACAAATTTTCCGATGAACAGATCGCATTGACATATTAATGTCAGTGAGAGACACTCAAATATGCTTCTATGAAAAACTAGAGCTGGCATGTTTTTCAAGGTGACTGTAATGCCTAATAATCCACTAACCTATTCTATCATCACATAACTACCATTTTACCTGACCTTGCCAGCAATCCCATTTAACCCCAGTGGGTAGCATTGTTTTTCAGCGTGGAAAAACTAGACGGGAGCATGCTTGTTGGTATAAAGCACACCAAGGTCTTTTGCAATCCAAGGTCCTGCGTGGCGACATCGAGATCAAATTTACTCTTTGCCAGCACTTAAGTTCTTGTTAGCGTATTCAGTCCACCAAATTTGAGTTAGACGCAAGATTTAAAGTTAAGTATGCTGCTTGAACAGACCTATTATGGTGTCTGCCAGAACAGAGATTGTTGCATCCTCACAACTATTTGTTTACCCACTCTTTTCCCAATGAATGCATCTCAAATAATAAGCGCGTTGTCCTTTACAGCAAGGAATCAAAGATATCTTTCTCAACCAGCAGTTAGATGCTTGATGTTAGCTTGGTGCTCTTTGCATCCAGCAAAACACTTTGGCATTATACGGGTACTTATTTTTTGTACTGTTTTTTTATACTCTCGCTTTATTACCCATGCATAAATTGAACGCCAGCAGTGCGTTTTCATCCCGTGTGGTTCTCCTGTAATTATTTGAAAGGCCGAAGGCTCTTTACAAAGAAAGTCGGGAAGTAAACGTGGGTGAACATGGAGATAAACGTGGGCAAACGTGGAGATAAAATGTGACGCAACATTGTCAATGTATGACAAACTTTTTTTGTTCACTGTGTAAATGTGACTTCATGTTACTTCAGCGGTCCGATACACGATTTCAAATTCAATAGCTCTCGTATTTTTATTCCACGAGCAAAAAAGGGAGATCTGGTAGCATATGCCTTTTAAGAAATGGGGTTCAAAATGACGCAATTATTTCATCATCTTTGATGGTGACGCTGCACGCGCCTAACAACTGATAGTCACGCGCGTCTATTGTAACTTCGACTCAGCAGGTAATCTAGCTAGACATAGTGGTCGCGGTTGAGATTGTTCACCAATTAGTATATCTGAGAACGAATGCACAGATGAATTACCATATATGAAGTGAGATGGTCGTTTTATTCATTTAGGAGGCATACTGGATGGGCGTCGTCCTGCGCCCGTAAATAAGGTACCGCTGACACCATCGAGTTGCTCGTGGAGATAGATATCTTGCAGCTAACCGAGAGTCTGCAATTGTTAGAGGTTCTCATGCCTTTAGGTTATTGAAACGAAAAGCGATTTTAGCCCTTGCAATGTAGCGGTGTTTGTGAATCATTGGTTAAGATAGTCATGATATTTTTAATGACATGATACGCCTTGTTTGTTCTGACTATGTTACCTCAGTATCTCATCTCAGTATCTTATCTTATCTTATCTTATCTATCTTACGCATTTTAGCACCCACTGATTTATAGCAACACATTACACATTTTTTTCGAATGAAAATCGACAACTAACTCAAATTTAAGATAACAGATTGGATCTGAGCTAGCCGGACGGGACTGGACCGAAAATGCAATCCATGACGTGCTCTTATTTCCGGTGAGCAGTCTGTAGGACCTAGTCAGGATACTTGACGAGAGTGCATCTACGTCAAGGTGTTCAATGAGACCAACCTTCCGAGACCGTCATTGTTTCAATGAGACCAGCTTTCCTATTGGCCATGGTGAGGCGTTTACTACTACAATAAGACCATCCCAACGCCAGGCCGTGGCGGCCTTTTCCTGTTGCTTAGGGAAGTCCAGTTTACCACTGTGTCATAACAAGGCCCTCCATTGACAATGTGAGGCTAACCCTGCACCATACTCTTCCATCACTGCTGAGTGAGCCACACCCGCCGCTGCAGGTGATGACAAGGTGTCGTCTTGTCGCAGGGAGCCACCCAGCATGTCACCACTGCCGCACAGACGAGGTGTGTGTGCTGAAAAAGCACTGCGCCTTCTCCGAGAGGTGCCGGGAGCCATGCAGTGCATGTCCCGCGGCTACCACGGCTGAGCTCAACCGACCTGCAAGCGACCTTCAGACGACCTTGAAGCGACCTTGAGGCGACCTTGAGCCCCGTGATCGCTGCGCCACAGACTTCTGGCTCCGGGCCATCAGATCATGATGCGTGACGACCTCCCACGGCACGGCGTGCCCAAACTGTGCGCTCTGCTGACAGCATTTCAAGCAGTGCACAGCACACAGTGCGCACAGTGCACTTGCGTGCGCAAAGTGAGCGCTGGGTGGAGGAGTGACGTTCCTCTCGGCCCCAGCGGAACGCGTGACATTTCGAGGAATGCAGAGCTGAAGTGTGGCGTCACTCGGTGAGGAACGCCCGGACGTTGGATCAGCGTTTGTGCGTTCAAGATCATCGTGAAGGAGCACGTGATGATAGCAGAGGGGACTGGGAGTTGTGCGAAAGCAGAACGTCAGAAATCGAATCACAGCTAGTTAGTGTAGATGTGAGGGCTTTAGAGGAGCTGACATAGAGATTCCGCATGCTTGACATCTGGATGAGCTGGTATCTATAATCATTTGCACACTAAGCACTGAAACATAAAAACGCTCCACATTTTATGCAAAGCATAAAGATGGTCCTCCCGCAGGAAGTGCTTGCCGATGAGCGAATGACGTTTTTTTTGTAATCTGTTGCCTTGTTCTTTGCATGCAGCGAAACCAGCCACTTTATGCATATGCCAGTGATATGCACATGGAAGTGTCCTAATCTTATTTTCTATTGCTTTTGGCAAAAGTCTGTCAGTCTGTGATCAATAATTAAGACTTAAGCTTTGATGTCTACAGAAGTGCGTGTAGTGTAACTCGTATATGTATAGTAATACACTTTACGAAAACTCTTGGGTTACCGGCTACAGAGACTGACATTGCGGACACTCGTATGATGACTAGTCATTCACAATCGCCCACAATGCAAACATATGTGTCCGTACTACTGCTACCGTTTCAATTACGTTGAGTAATAAGTGACAAAAATGTCAGCAAACGTGAAAGAGGTTAAAAGCAATAACTCAGATAAATCCCGGCTTAGGTAATTCCCTGGCGTGATTTGGATTCACACAGGATCGTGCGTATTCTACCTCAGATGCAAAGGCCTTGTGAAATATTCCTAGGAGGGGAGAGGGTAAAAACAGCATGAACTGTTGTACCAAAACACCTACCAACCAATACATCCACCCGACATCACTTGGCTCGGCCGGTCACTACTCTCATTCGCCGGAAGCAGACCATACCAATCACGCTGGAACTGAGCGCAAACAAGGGCACCTCACATGCGGGGAAAAGATTGCCGCACCTGACAAAAAAGGGACTGGACCATGCGCACACACCTGGCGGCACCATTGGGCCTTAAGCGACCAAACGGAGCACCAACGAGCGCCAGAAGATCGAACGATCGTGTGCAGGTATCGCCGTAGGGCAGTGCTTCTGCTCCCCCTCTCCACTAGCTTCAGTCACAATGTGCTGATCGCACTAGGGACGGAGGTGAAGGCTGTTGGCCACCGAGAGGCGCCAACCGAGAGGCGGTGAAGGCTGTTCTCTCCGACTCCGACTGGTCAGCGTCGGTAGACGGAGCCGACGGAGTCACGTCTGCGTCTGCGCCCGACGATTCTGCGACAGGTGCGAGTAGAAGAGCGGGTTGCCAGTCGGCCGGCGAGCAGAAGAACGGCGCACCGGCCGGCGAGCTGAGAGGCTGTTCCCCCAGATGTCGCGGCGAAGCAGCGGTCCGTGCAGAGGGACCGGACCGCGTGGACCATCTCGGCGACATGACCAGGGGGTATCAGCGGCTGATACGCCGGCCGTGCTGATCGCATTAGGTGAGTTCTCTCGCACACTGTCACGTGTATCTGTAGTCATCTGTCACGTGCATCTGTGGTCATCTGTCACGTGCATCTGTGGTCATCTGTCACGTGCATCTGTGGTCATCTGTCACGTGCATCTGTGGTCATCTGTCACGTGCATCTGTGGTCATCTGTCACGTGCGTCTGTGGTCATCTGTCACGTGTATCTGTGGTCATCTGTCACGTGCGTCTGTGGTCATCTGTCACGTGCATCTGTGGTCATCTGTCACGTGCATCTGTGGTCATCTGTCACGTGCATCTCGCCCGCAAGGGCGAACAGTTGAATCACGTGCCGTTCGTGTATCTCTCCCGTCTCAAACTGAACCCTGAACGTGGGTAGAGACAACGAATGACACAGTCCTTCTTATCCTCTGCCTTGCTTCATCCTGCATGCTCGCCGCTCCGCTCGTCCGCGGGGCAGGCTGCATGCGTCAGCCACGAGTGGGCCGAGAGCCCCGTGAGACGGGGTCAGGTGCATGCGAGTCTGTTCCATCGGTAACCATTTTCCTTCATCCCATAGCTCTGAAATAATCCTTTCTGGCCGAAAGGGCTCAAATAAAAACCTAAAAACCAAACGTACGAATGACAGTCACTGGTCGCTAGGTGGTATAGCAAATGTGGTCTACATGGGTGAGTGCTAGGCCATCTGCTCTCAACATAGGCGAAGTGATGGTTCTGTGTTTATGATGTTTTTACTGCTTTACTCATGCTGCTTAAGCCTGGTTTCGAGCGGTCGAATCTCATGGCGAGCTTAAAGCTGAAGATGAGACTTGAAGCTGATTCACCCATAGTAGCACGTGGAATAGCTCTGTTGACAAAAGGTAATTTAGAACTACTGGCGCCTAATTCAGCTTACTGGGGCTGCTTACTGCTATTGCTCACTGGATCTGCTGTCAATTCTCCGATGCGGAACTTCAGTTCCCTGGCCACCACTTTAGCTAGATCGTTGGCCTTCAGCTTGTAATGAGCACCGACCCTGTGCATAATACCACTCTGTAAAAGATAAGCTTGAAATTGTGAGCTGATGAATATGGGGCACTGTCAGAGGTGATTGAATCGGTCAGTTAACACCGACTAAACATGCACGTAAAACATGATTGTGTTGTTGCTGCAGCCGTCATTTCGTCGACCTGCATACATTTCGAGAACGAGTTCACAACTACGAAACAGTGCTTTCCGTTCACACAT